GAGAGAGAGAGAGAGAGAGAGAGAGAGAATATTAATGAAAACATTATATTAAAATACAAATTTTTATAAATTACAATAAATGATTTTAACAATATTTTTACTTTTTAGTATTCTCTCATATATTAAGAGCTTGGGCTTAACGGGTCTTGTAATTAGTTTGATAGTATTTTATATATCACGATTCTACATAAGATTATATAATTATCCACCCGGTCCACTTCCATTACCAATACTTGGAAATATTCTAGGTAAGTACTTATATTAATTTGCTTAATTATACTGTATAATTTATACACTAACCACGATATTATATGCATCGCGAACGGGTAATTCAGGAAAAATAGTTTATTACATGGTTGCTATTGTACAGTTTTTAACAATCAAGTTTAATTGCCTTGATAGCATTTCGTAACTATAAACGACATTGGTCGCAAGAGATTCTAAAGTTCAAACATATCTACGGCCCTGTGTTTACCCTATGGATTGGTTGCGTGCCGTTTGTGTTTATATGCGACCTCGATATGGCTCGGGAAGCGTTTGGTAGAAGTGAATTTTCTGGACGTCCAGAACTTTTAATTGGTAATATTGCATGCATTTGCTTAAAATCATTTATAACATATACACACATGTATAACTCTCATATACATGTATATCTACATTATTTATTATTTTATAAAACTGATCAACCAGTATAACTCATGATTAAAACTTGACAAAAAACCATTTTTATAACTAATATCAACAAAATGTTTTTATAAGTTTATAGGTTAAAGTTGGTATTTATTATAATTAATACATTAAATTATTTATTATATAAATAATCTAGTTGTTTAGTTTGAATTGTGTTTATATAATCTAGCCACAATCTTCTGTACTAAAAAGCGTAAAGATGTTTGTTTTAACGATTATAATAAAAGTTGGATTAGTTTACGCCGAGTGTCGTACATAGCTCTCCGGTAAGTAATATACATCTCTCTCTCTCTCTCTCTCTCTCTCTCTCTCTCTCTCTCTCTC